TATATATATATATTATATATATAGTTTATATATATACTACACACACACATATATATATATATATATATATATATATATATTATATATATATATATAGCAATCGGCTTAGTCACGGTGTGGCATTGCTCGTTCGTGCTGGTATATGAGCCATGAATTGTTCCGACATCTGAAATTTTTATTAGCTACAAGCCCACTCACCACCTATCTGCCCCGTACGTATGGTTGTGCTGTTCACTTGTGTCAGTATAATTATTGCTATGGAGCTGCATGACAACATACTGCCAAGCCTTCCGTCACGTTCACCATATCTCTTTCAGCTTAAGTGATTGTGTTATCTTTGCTTCCTTAGCTGATACGAAGAGGTTATGTGGGGCGTACGGTGAAGGTCAATGTCAAAGGCGATGGTACGCAACGATTTGAGATAAACGATCTGTTTAACAGCACAGATCCATCGGATAGGGGTAAGAGCTCACGTTATATGCATCGGTCTTCCGAGGTACCACCGCTTGTTGCTCTCAAGACTAGTTGTCAGCATTAACATACTTTGGTGGCGAGGGGGTTTGTACACTATGCAGTATATGACATTGATATATAAGTACCTGTATGTGTTGAGGGAGGCTGGCGATTGGACGTCTGTGAAGTGAACAGGAAAGGGTATGGGTATACTCAAATCACTTCCGTTTCGTAGTACATTTATTTTCACGTTTTGTGAGAGGCGCTTGCTATGTGTGTCATGTGCTATAAGCAGAACTACTGTTGGTTACCTTGTGGGTTGTCCTGTATTTATTATACAAGGCGTACGAACGTGCAGCAGTCCTTATACTGAGCCTGGACATTGATCGTTAGGCTTTACCCAACCGGCATTTCATGTGAGTTGGGGTTACGCCTACTCGATGGGCACCTGTCTCGTCGATGTGTCATTCAAATCGTTTGGGGAGCGTGCTGAACTTGTGATCTTCCTGTGAGGGTCTCTAGGTAGATATTACAAAGTATGATTGCTGAACCGGTCTGTTTCTCGCTGTGTTCAATCAGGGATACCCCTAGTATGCCGGGACTCTGATGTACCCGCCGTATTCACCATCCAGGCCATTGAGCCACAACCATTCATAGTCTTAAGCACTGAACCGTGGCAACCCCTCAAGCTATACATCATTATATGACTGAAGATTACATCTCAGCTATCATATATAGCAAGGTGAGGCGGGCATGCATGTACAAGGCACGTCCACACACACGCTAAGGCAAAGTGCTCAGAGGCATATACAAACATAGCTGTAGCGTGGCCAAAGCTAACTGAAGTTGTGCGTGTCATGCTGGCTGAGTCGGCGTACACCACACTCTATCTGCCCTGCTTCGGCAACACAAGAACCAATTACGGTATTAGTATGACCACGTGCTTAGAGCTCATAGGGCTGTGCACAACACGTTCCGGCCCTATATGCATGAATCGCTCGCTGCAGACGAAAAGTTGAGACCATGACACTTGAAGTTTAGGGTTCAGGTCTGTACTAATCGCCAACCTATCTCCTTCGAGCGTTGTGGGTTCGTATCACTATGAGTGGTTGGTATATTGGTATAGCCGTTCACTCAGCACGTACCCGAACATGTTAACCTACATATATACTATGCTTGTACGCGAATCTGTGTGCATGCGCACGTCTAATTGCCCGCAGGAAGAAACACGCGGACCACGCAGCGCGGATGGGGTGATCGCGATAAGTAAGTAGCGTAGTTGCACTTTAGCGTACAGCTCTTGCTAGACAAATATCTAGACCGCACCTTTCACATATATATATATATATATATCTTTATGTTACTATGTTGATATACGTATACATATATACAAAGATATATATACTTATGTTTACATTTACTTGACCACATATAGGCATGTCACAGCACGAGCGAGGTGTACGCTCTATCCAGGTCGCGTGGGAGGATATCAGCGTGGGACCTTTACTGGGCAAGGGAAGTTTCGGGGTGGTGTACAAAGCCAAGTATAGGGGTTCCGATGTGGCCGTGAAAACCCTACTAGACCAGTCCCTGCATGCTCGCGTACTCAAAGAATTCGAGTCGGAATGTATGATTTTCGCGGAATTGAGGCATCCAAACCTGATTTTGTTTATGGGGGTGGTCACGACAGTGCCGCATCTGTCGATTGTGACCGAACTTCTGCCAAATGGAGCGCTCAGTAATGTTCTTATGGACGAAAGGGTATGTTATCCTTTTAGTGCTGACTACAGTGCTTATTGTCAAGGCCTTGACTCTGTCAGTGCCACGCTCATCTGTGTGCCAGTCTATCGTAGGTGTCGGTGAGGGGCTGAGACTTCAATGCATTTGTTGGCACATGTGTGGTGTACGTAAACCCGGATGACCTCGAACACATCACAAATTAATATCCAGTATTGTGTATTTTATGTTCACCTATCCTTCTCGTACCCATATATGCGTGCTAGTTAAATCACCACACCACTGCATCTGTCAACCTTCAGCTGTGTAGATCATATTCTCATCTCACGATAACTTTGATTCGTATTGGCCGCTATAAATAGATTTTCATCGATGTGGGCAGGCGTTTACAGATGGCGCTGGACATCTGTCTTGGTATGGCCTATCTACACACGAATAAACCTCCAATCATCCACCGAGATTTGAAGTCACCGAACATCCTGGTAGATTCCAATTTTACTTTGAAGGTGAGAGTCTGCGTGCGGATATGGTTTTGATGAGTAAGGTTTATCGCCGGTATTCGCTCTGTTAGAGCAGGGCGATTGCACAAATTTCTGAACACATCAGTATACGCCCAGGCACACGCACACATACACACACACATACACACGTATATATGTATGTATATATATATATATATATATATATATGCATATGCACATGCACACGTACATGCATACGCAAACGCAAACGCGTACGTACATGCAATGCACACACCCACGCCCATACATATGCACTATATATATATATATATATAGTATATGTCTCTATGTCTCTATGTCTCTATATCTCTATATCTATCTGTCTATATCTATACCTATATATATTTCTAAATATATGTATTTATAAATCTATAATATGTAATGTATATATAATCACTAAGTAGTACTTTTGGGCCGACATAACAGATTGGAGATTTCGGCCTGGCGGGGCTTGTCGCGGCGGAGCCACTCATAGCCGACCCTGATGTACCTGAATGTAGTACTATGAGCGTCGTACCTGATGAGGTCAGTAGTTCTGCAACGCTGCCTGTATTCAGTGAACGTTCGCGAACATCTCATAGGTTCTTGAGCAAAATCTTTATGAATGGGTCTGAGCCTGGACCTTCGGATCGGAACGTAACCGGCATAGGTAAGTGATTCCATTCATACAGCTCATACTTTGCCTCTGAGAGCGTTGCAGATATTCTAATGGTCACACATATATACTAGAAAATGTGTGACATGTTGTACCGATCTAGTTGTGATCTGCAAGTACATACTTCCACATATGTGATTATCTGTATCTCTTTATATACTCGTATGCCCACATCAGTGCTCAACCACTAGTTGGTCTCGCAACAGCAGCTTCCCTATACGAACGTGTCTTCGCCTTCGCTTAGGCTTGGACATAGACTGCCGTTCAGGCCCTGAGGCTCACAAGTGTAATTGGGTAGCAGCTTACAGCAGTTTGGAACACTTTAACGCTACTTGTACAGTCTATTCACTATAGTATATATGCCATATTTATATATATATAGTTATATATAGTCATATATAGTTATATATAGTTATAGTTATATTTATTTGCAAGGGCGAAGAATGAGCGCCTTCTTACTTGCATTGACAACCACACTTGAACAGCATCGCCTACCAAGAATACACAGTGCTTCAGTTGACTGTTACTATCAACTGTTTATATATAAACACAACCTACTTATCGATAGAAAAGAAGATTGGCTTCTTCCCTCCACTTGAATGCACACACCACTCCCACTCGATAGCCACACCCGCGCTGCAAACCTTATACCGCAACTTGGGTGGCTATGCGACTATGCTCTCGCCAGACTACTGACGCCTATCGCTATCAATTGTTTGTACCTACACACCCCGTAGAGTTGCACGCTGTGGCGATTCCTATGCAGGAAGATACGTCTTTCCGTGTACCTGAGCCAGCGCCGCCGCCCAAACCTAAGAACAAGTTCGCTGGGACAATCATGTGGGCCGCGCCTGAGGTTCTCCGGCTGGAAGGGTGTACTAAGAGCTCGGATATTTATAGTTTTGGGATAGTTCTGTGGGAGTTGGCGATGCGTAAAAAACCCTACGAGGATATGCATCCCCTGTCGGTCAGGTATCAGGTGGGTCTTGTGTTTAGGCTTAGCTTCACTCTGCCATACGTGCCGTGAATGGGGATTGAGTTATTGATTGCGTCTCAATGACAATGGAGCTCGCTTATGTAATAAGTTGTGTGATGTGTGTTGTGTGGTGTTGTGATGTGTCTATCTATTCCGTGGGTTGTCGTATTGTGGTATTCCCATGGGATCATTTGACGGTGCAGGGGTAGGAGAGGGTAAGCACGCACATGTCGAGTCTGCCCAAGCGTCGGGTGTGCACGCTGGTGAGAATTTTACTGTGCTGTGGTCTGATACTTGTTACGCACCAAGCATGCACACGTGGGGTTGTAGTGTACATAGAGTTGATATTATGGGTGCGTCGTTCTGCTGTATATTGAGCTGATATGCGATGGTCGGGGCTCCCTCGGCCGGTGTGGTGTTTAGTGTTACTTGTGTTTTTGACATGTGCCCATGAAGCGATGTACGTGTTCGGGTGACTACACGACGCATGCAGCGCTGGTATCGTATAATAGTATGTATCCATTCCGGTACAGCGAAGCTTTCAGCAAATGGAATCTATCACCAAATATATCTACGAATCAGATTCGGGCCTCTGGCCCGGCTTATGCGCAGAGAGTAATTATTGGAGCTATGCCAATACTACTTGCTAGATCGGCACATCTCGTCACACTACCACGTTCTTTCACCCCTGTATCTCCAACACTAGATATGCAACTCATTTCTTACTATAACTATGTCGCGGATTGATCGTGTTCATGGCACTGAGTACTCTCACCGTATCAATACCTGCGGGATTGAGGTCAGGATGTCTTTGGGCTCACGCCTGATTGTCCAGAATGGTGCGTATATGAAATCGGGCCAATTTCAAAGCTTCAGTAAATTGAAATACCACACACATGCGATACCCGTGCAAGTGATTGTAGCTGTTGCTAAACCACACTAGTATGTTGTGACACGTTTACGTGACTGCATTGGCGAGTATCACCGCACGTACGCGGCTCACACATCCATCCACAAGACTTGTTTATCCAGAATAGCAGCTTTTTCGTTATCTATCGGCATAACGGGCCTGTGCTTGTGTAAGCAAATCGCACAGGTGTACGCCGAATTGAGTGATAACTATTAGTTTTTGGGTACAGAGAAGAGGTACATAGCATGTAGTAGTTATGAGTGGTTGCGTCTGATAGCTGGATCACAGAGAAGCCCACATAACTATATACCATACAGGTGAGATTATCTTAATTCATATTCTGATCATCCTTTTCGACTAAAGGTAATGCGACAGGGCGCGCGTCCCACGCCACTACCAGAGGCGACAAACTCAATCCGTGATCTTATGGAGTCATGCTGGGCGGAAAAGGTTGAGGATAGACCAGGTGAATATATATATATATATATATATTATATAGTACACAGGCACACACAGATATATACACACACATATATATATATATATATATATCCATACCTTCCTACGCATACATATGCAGCTATACACAAAATTAGCGACGTGTAGGGCGTACTCAGATGTAACATCCTCTAACACACTCACAAAAGAACCATGTCCCATGTCACCATCCCAGCGACTCGGGGCTGCCTTGAACCCACAGAATATGTACCTTCATGCGTAGGCTACACATGTTCGCGAACACAATGCCCTATCGTACAGCTATAGTGCACATACCTGGTTCAAACAGAATACACGCACCTATGGCAATCGTAGACTACGCGCACTATCATATATAGACGTATCACCCCTCGCCCGTTGCACCACTGAGCCGTGTTGCGAGTGACTGGCCCAGCTGTATGGGTTTTCTGATAGTTTTGTTTATTCTTCAAATTACGGCCATTCAGAGAGCTTTGTGGCCATCGCCAAACAGATTGAGAAGTACCGCGACGACGAAGGCTTTAGCCAGGTGTGTTGTGCTGTCTCTCTGAGTACTGCTGCACTATATAT